ATAAACATAAGATGGATTTTTTGAATACTTTCTATGATGTCCGTGATGGCACTCCAAAGATTCACTTATCTCTCTGCGTATTTCAACAGGCATTAAGAGTCATACTTCACAAAAGGATGGTCTTGCAACAATTCTTTGAACACAGAGATTTCCATGTGCCAATGAAATTGTTCTGGTATGAAATATAACAGTCACTTTGTAATTGAAGTACCCCAGAAATTCAATTACTTATGCCCATTCGCTTCTTTTATTAGAATCAAATCTTGATAACTGTAGAGTTATTCATGCTAACTAATGTCAATATGACAGATCTTCTAAAGCTGCTGAAAAATTCACCACTCGAAACTTCAACACAAAAAAAGTTAGGATAAGCGTTTAATCGATTTCAACATCGAGTCAATAGTAAAGGAAGTGCAGGTTTTTTTATCACCGAAGCTGCTAAAATGGCTTGGCTAATGTTGAAAAGAGTTATAAATCGACTGACAATTGTTCTTGATATTACAAACACCTCTTCCATGTACTTACGTTGGATTAGAAAATGGTTGAATTCTTGTGAACAACGGAGGATTCGAAACGAGATCGTTTTAAAAAAAAAATTGAGTGAATAGTACTCAAATGTTGTGCTTTCATATATATATATATTACATTATATTATTACATTTATTGCTATCGAATTTCGTAATCTCTTGACACTGTTACACAATAAAGAAGTAGAGAAGGAAGCCAAAAGCATGGATTACAATCAAAACACAATTACGCTTGCGTAATCTATGATAAATGTGTTACGTAATTTAACCATGACTGCTGAATGAGTCATCATTTTTGTACAAAAAAATGTGTCGTTTTGTTCTCGGCGAAATTCATTCTCAGGAGGGTATAGGGGTTTTTATTTCTAAAAGTTAAATCCAATGCATCATAGGAGGTGAGTATCTCAAACATACCATGGGACAATTAGTATCCAAGCAGATATGAGCGGAAGTTGACTTTGCCAAAGTTTGAATATAGGTGTGGGTGTGGATGCTTTAATCTCCACTCATACTGACACCCACACCCTGTATGTGGCAGACAGAGAGAATTATTGAGCGATACATTGGTTCAAAATTGTAACAGAACGAACGCTGACTGTTATCAGAGATGGAATCGGTTAGTATTTCTGTGGAATCGAGCCGAGTCGAACGAAAAGGATATCAGTAAAATACCCTCTAACCCATTCCAACTGCCGTTCAACTCGAAGTTAATATCAATTGATAGAGCTTCGCATTCTACACTCATGAAGCCTTACTCTAAGCCATTTACTTTGAGAAACATCTGATCAATTTCTCAAACGCGAATGTCGTCAATTCACCATTTCGCCAGCACACATTAATAGTAGTGAAAGAATGTTGTTTATCTTTATTTTCTGAACGACAACAACCCTAATTGCATTTTCAACAAAGTGCACAAAATAGAACTATCGATTCTTGAGTATGTTTATATGAAAGTGAGCAACTTGTTCCGAAAAATCTTGGAAATCAGCTCGCTTGGAGAGATTTTTACAAGTCAATACATGAGAAGGATACTAATGATCCTTCATCTGTTAAAAGTTTTTCGAGTGTGCGTATCGGGTCGAGAAGATCTACAACCACACCCACACGTTCTATAGATATTACAAAATTAGATCATTTTTCTATTGAAAAATTGTACAAGAAAAAAAATGAGATATGATAAAGTAAGTTAATTGATTTTCTTTATTATCAAACAGAAATTCGAAGGGAAAACCTCGATAAATATTGTTGTTTTTGTCGTTTTTAATTATTTTCATGATATTGTTAGTTATCATTTTCTTCGTCGTTCATCGAATCAGAAAGATCATTTTTTACTTGTTCAACTTGTAAATAACGTTTACCTTGTACATCTATCCAATATTTATTGTTAGTTAAGTGGCGTTCAGACTTTGCAATACCACTTTCAAGATAAAGTGCAATACGTGCTCGCTCTAAATGCCTTTGTTTTATAAAAATAAAAGTAAAGTAATAAAAAAAAAAGAAAGAAACGATAGAAATAAATAAAACAAACCATAATTTTTTGGCACTTTTTTTTACATCGGCATATGTATCACCCATCATAGCAATAAGTAAATTTAACAAAAGAATAGTAATAACCACAACATAGAAGATAAATAATGTAATACTTGCCTTCGGATATTGTCCTCCGGCATAATGATCTATATCAAAATCACCCAATAAACCCAAAAAACATTGTTTGATACTTGATATATAACCTTTCAAACCTACAATAAATCATAGTATAAGTCATTTGTTCAAAATAACAATTTCATTATAAATCTAATTATCTTTTTAAATGAAGTGCTCATTCTTTTTTCTTCGTGCATCATAAAATTTACCATTTTCATTGAATAAAATAAAAAATGATTGTGAAAAACCCGCAAGAAAAATTACATATATTATACAAAAACGAAGGACATCATTGAATAACATTTTATAAATCATAATGACAAATGGACCAGTAAATCGAAATGGCATAATGAAAAAGAACATATAACCCCATCCAATAAGAGAAGTAAAAGCAAGTATGAGAGTTTCATATTCCTGCATTCCAAATAAATGAAAAACTTGAGCAGTTAAAATAAAAAGACAAAATGAGCATGCTAAACAATTTTCAAGAAAAATAGATCCCTAAAAACTATCATATAATTAATTAAATCTAGAATGATTAAAAAGTAATCACTCACTGTACTGTTCAGATAATCCAACAAACCTAAACTACGCATTTCATTTATTTCACGTTTACTTTTCCATAGGGCACCGAATATTAGAATGAAGCGGCCGACTGCACAGGTTATTTGACGACTAACATTCGAATCTGTACCATGAATTGATGCTGTTTTCTTATCCTTTTTACGTGATGTCTAAAAAACACATTTCGTAGTTAAGCAAGATATTTTCGTTAAGCTACCGTTTCTGATCGTGTTTGTTGCAAAATTGTAGTGCCAAGAAAAACAAGAAGATAGAGAAATGTAATGAGAAATCGATGAATAAGTATTCGATAAGCAAAATATTTCCATTTTTTATCAATTAAAGATATAATAATAGGATGTACTAATTCAGGATCATTATTTTTAATCATTATTTCAATGACACTAAGTGGTTGTTGTTTATTCTGAATAAAATTAATAAGAGATTCTATAGTTATAAATATGAATATCAGTTAACTCACATCGTCATGAAAATCACGATCGAGTTGATCGAGAGGATGTAATATGCATGAAACGTTACCATAAGACCATTGTATTTTTTTACGCTCATAAAGTAACCATGACAACATTTTAGATTGACTTATATCAGCTGCTAGAGTCAATGGTGTGAAACCATCTTTATTTAAACGATTCCACAGTTTCGTTTGTTTCGTTGATATTGAGCCACTTGTTTTATCGTTGTCGTTACTAACCTGTTGTTCTATCCAACGTGCTTTGAATTTCGCATAAATTTCAGGCAAATTGCAGATAACAAGCATATGCAGAATGGTATTACCGTTGCTGTCCGTCTAGATATCAATATAAAGAAACTAGAATAAAATTTCTTCAAATGATATTCGTATAAAAAAAAAATTATTTGAAAAATTTTCTCATATCTCTACAGTTAGGAATATCTCAGTTAAGATCTAAATGAAAATTAGCATTGTTTAATGTGCATACTAGAAGTGTGCGAGACGAATTTTGCTCGTGGGACTAAAATTTAGATATTTGTCAGGATTGAAAACAGGATCGCGGAAAAGAGAAGGTGCTAAAATCAGGATCAAGACTACGAGAAAAAAGTTGTTCTAATCGTAAATGAAAATCAAATTTTTTTCGATTTTTGATTATTCATCACTAATATAGTCCTCTGTGAAATGCCATATAAATGGAGGATTTTCGTTATTAGTTAGTACGTTTATTAAATTCAACTTTCAAAATTCCTATCGGAAAAATCGCGCTACGATTTTTCTATTCTATGCAAAATTTTCCTAATGATGATGATTATTTCTTATTCCGATGGCGTTTAGAGCTTTGATCATGGACTCCTAACATCAATGAATTCAGTTAATTTTTCATCCGTCTAGTTGAAGAAAAAAGCTCTAGTAAGCACCGAAAATTATGTTTCTCATTTTTCTCGAAATCGGTTTTTACACAAAAAAAAGTGCAGAGTCGCCCTCGTTTCTCCGACACAATATGTTCGATTGATCTGAAACTTTTTTTACAGGTATTAGAAGCTATTTGTGGTGACTACTTTTTTTTTATTTCGAAAAATATTGCTCTGATGATGGTTTGGTCAATTTCACAAAAAAAAAGCATTTGTTCTAGGAAGTACCCTTCAAATTTTGATCTTTTTATTCGAATGAAAGGAGATTAAAAAAACACCCCAAAAAAAAGGTAGGCATCCCAAACAGTGTCTAGTATATGTAGAAAAGGTTTATGTCAATATGCTGGTAGCAAATGCTTTACTGGCATTTTTTTAATCGACCTATACTTTATATTCATAGATATTCTACTGTAAAGAAATAAAATGCAATAAATATATTGTTTAATTAATACGAGAGCACAAAAGACACTTAGTGTCAAACTCTTTCAATAGACTCAAATTTCATTCACGAAAAATATACAAAAACAAACCAAATATATATCATGTAAGTTAAGAAATTCTATGAAAGAAAAATAAATTATATAATATCGATTCGATATTATTGTTCATATTTTCGATTTTGTTTTAACAAGTGTGTTCAAGTTAAAATATGTATATAAAATTGTTCGAAAGAATAATTACTATTCGTTCTTATTTCAAATTAAGCATCATTATAGTAACGAGTTATAATCATATTTTTTGTCACTAAGGAAATTGAGATTTAAAAGAGTTTACAAATTCGAGAGAAACCTAGAAAAATTCAACAGAACGCATCAAAATCAGAAAGAATCAGAAGAAAATACCAAATTCATAAACTTTCCTTTTTTTTCAGAAGATTTGGCTATCCTGGTTAGAGAAGCCATTTTAGCATTTTTAATCCTAATATCCTCTAGAAGAAAGCATTTGAGAATTTCTAGTCTAGACATATTTTTGCTCTACTCATCAAGATCTATCTACCATGAAAGCTTCAAATTTTTCTCAGTAGCTATTCTCCAGAAACCTTGAAAATGAGAGGAGGGATCTTCTTAAGTGAATAATGTTATAAATCATATCAATCAGAATTTAATTCAAGAAAAAGGACTCAAAAAAAGTACTAATCCTTGACTAAATAAATAAAAAAAAATCGAGTTTTAAAGAATCTTTTTAGATGTGATATGAATAAATTGTGGAATAGTTTTCTCTAGACGGAAACCAAAAACACTTGGTATCGCACAACTCTAGTTTAAACATCTATTATTATTAACTTTTTGCATTCAACATTCAATATTTTCTTCTTTACTGACCGCATCCATATCAGCACCATATTTTAGTAAGATTTCAACCATATCCCATTGATTAGTACAACAAGCAAATCCTAGTGGAGTTTCACCATAATAAGATGGTTGCCCTCTACAAATGTAAATATGAAATATAAGACAGAAGAAAAGTAACTTACATTTTAAAGAAGTCACCTGTAGCAGTTGCTGTCAATAATTGTTGTCGATAAGACTCTAAATGTTCATTACTAAGTAGCCATTCAACCATAGTTGTATAACGTTTGACAATAGCAATATGAAGAATATTCTCACCGTAATATACCTATATAATTTATGTATATCATTCAAATAACAACAACAAATGAATATAATTATATTTACTGGTTTATTGTAAATTTGCGTTACAATAAATGGAAAACGTATAATAAGATCTCGAGCAATTTCTAAATGTGCATCTGATCCATATAGAAATAACATATGAATAGGACATTCGCCAACAGCTCCCCTAGTGTGAATAATATCTGGATCAATATCGACTAAATTGTTAATGGCAGTCTTGTCGGCATTAAACACAGCTGTCCATATTGTATTATCTTTGTACATAAGTTCAGTTTGTTGTTCGACTTCGGACTGATTCGAGTCGACATCAGACTTTTTTACTGCAAAAAATATATTGTTTAGCATATAAATCTTCAAATAAATTCATACCATTTAGCATTATTCATGTAAAACAGAAAACAAAGTCTCGATAATAGTCTTTTTTTTTGCTCTTCTCTTTTACAGTATGCGAAGCTGACTGCTAGCTTACCACGTGTCACACATAAGATTTTATTCGTAGAATAAATCAAGACACATGCATGAATACATTTCAGTCACATTTAATATTAAACGACGTTACAAAAGTGTTTCTTTTCTTCTTTTCTTGCAAAGGCACCCTTGGAGTTATTCAAGAAACCAATTAAACTCTTAAAAAAGTGCAATTTTTCTAAATATTCGTAGCAATGGCTTTACCTACAAAACTTTCGATATATTTTTGGATTATTATATCAATGTAATCAATGCATACAAATGCATTAAACGTTATTAATTTCTTTCATATTTTTATATTCGTCATAGTATATAGAAAATTATTTTGTTTTTTATTATGCTCCTAAATGTAACACTCGGAAGTGCTTACATGGTAATATAAGAAGAAATTATAATATTTAAGTATTAAGCACAACATAAATACAATGAGTTTTACTGTCACCACCGACATCATTATACGGAGCACTGAATCTGCTTGTGGAGCTGTAAAAGAGTAAAAAGAAACACACAAAATTTCAGTATTTGAGAAGCAGCGAATAAACGAAAGAGAGAAGAGAGAAAAGAGCGAAGGATGATGCTTATACGCGTTTCAAGGATAGAAAAAAGGGACAGGGAGAAGCAGAGAAGGAACAGGAGAAGGATTCTTCATGTCTTTTTTTTTATATACAACTACTTTATTTAATAAATGATATCCATTTTAAGAGAAGTGATTCATGCTTGTCTATTAAATGCTTTACACAATTGCTACCAAAAAACTGAGCAAGGCGATCGTTCTTTCTTTTATGAAAGTCACTCCAAAGAAAAATATCATTATAGAATAGTGAATGATCAAGATCCGTTGTATGCATATATTTTAATCTTCTTTGAATATAGTGTTTAACATAAGCTTCTAATGAGAGTTCATTAGTCACAATGTCTAGATTATAAGCTGAGACAAAGGAGCAGCGATGCACCAATCAAAGATCAACTGAAAGTTTCTGCTGTAGTATTTGTTGTTGTGACTTGGGAAGCAGAGGGAAAAAGAAAATAACTATGAAAAGTGGGGAAACATATATGCGAAGAAACATTGTCTAAGAGCCTTAGTGGAGATAAAGCGCTTTTCTCTTAATCACTTAAGTTTTCCTAAGAATTTCCGAATATTTCCTATACATCGATCAACTAGGGTGTGGGTGTTGGTATTATTATCTTCTTCACACCCAAACCCTCAAGTTTCATTATGTAAAATAAAAATTATACTTTAACATAAATTACATTACAATTAATTAGATTATGTAAAAAAGCAACAAAAAAAAGTCACAACTAGAATTAGACAACCTCGACTTATCTATCTTTATTAAGTTTATAATCTTCAACTATCCCATTAATTTGGAAGACTAATAAAAGAAACAAATAATTTTAAATGAGGCCATGAATTAGTTCTTTGTTAGCCAGTAATCGAAAATCATAGTTATACAAGAGCTCAGGATATTTAAGATGTTCTGAAACTAAATTCAGTATGATTGTTCTTTTTCTTAGGACTGTAAACATATTTCTATCTTTGTTCTAGTTATAGATGGTAAATAATTAGTCGACGACAAAAGTTTCGTTCGTCTTGAAATGAATTTTTTATATTATTTTTGACGTATGAGAATAGAATGCAACACATATATATAGAGAGAGGAGTTCGAGACATTTACGCAGCACATAGTAGTTTTATAAGTGTTTGTTTCTTCTTTGAGCAAAGTAAAAATATATGAATACATCCATTTTTGGATAACTTGTTCGAAGATGAGATGAGTTGTATGATATGAGACCCAAATTTCGAACTGACGGATTTCTAGTGGATAAATTACAATTCGAAATTTCATGCTCAGTGTTCTTGATATTGCCCGTTGATGGAACATAGCCAAAGCTCTCCCCTCTGAATGGTCAAAAGTTATAAACTCGATCTCGCTTCATATGAGCTATCTCATATCTTAACAGGTCGTCCACAAATGGATGTATTCACATATTTTTACTTTGCTCAAAGAAGAAGCAAACATTTATAAAACTAGTATGTACTGCGTAAATGTCTCGAACTTCTCTCTATATATAGATATATGTATTGCATTCTATTTTCATACGTCAAAAATAATATAAAAAATTTATTTCAAGACGGGCGAAACTTTTGTCGTCGACTAAATGTTGTTCAAATGATGAAACTGTGTAAAAGCACCGGTAAAAAACAAAAATTTTCTAAAGGGATAATGCAATAAGAGTAAAAAATCATTGAAGAACTGAATTTCTGAGATGCTTTTAGGAATCAAAGTTAAAACGAACAATCAAAATAATATTCTTCGATAGGTATGTCTCACCAAGCGCTCAATATTTCTATTAGCTTCCACTAATCGAAATCATATCAAGTGATCGAAAATATCTTTCCGATAGGCTTCCTGCCTTTGAGTAGTCCAAATTTCGATAGATTTCATGTCGTCAGAAAGTATCCAAGGAGTCAAAAATGAATGTACAGTGGGACAATGTTTCCGAACACTCGATAGTTCGATGAACGCCGACTGGTTGGAATCCGTTATTTCGATGGTTTTCGAGCGGTCGAAAATAAATGTGAGATGGGAAAATGCCTCCGACGACTCAAGATTCGATAGGTACTGAGGGGTTCGAAATTCGAGTAGAACAAGAAAAAAATATATATATAATCAAATTTCGACCACTCGTCGCATCCATCGTTGACTTTTTAAGATCTACTTGAGTCACTCACACCTTTGGCAATACTGATCTCGATCTACTTGCGCAATAATTGTTTAACTTACGTCTATCAATTTGTCTGGCTCCTTTGATGATGATCAATGGTATTTCGTTCGGATGGTCAAGAATGATAAAATAGTCTAATCAGTTTTTTTCCATTAGATTAGCTGAAGTAAAATGTTGAATTATCCATCATCTTATAATTCTTACAATAATAATTCTGATGTGAATTTCACAGATATAATCAATACGGAAACTATATTGCACAATTAAAAACATTCAATATCAATTTCTGGACAAATGTTATTTTATTTGTATAAGAAAAATTATATTTACATGAACACAATGAATAAATCAATTGAAAAAATATCTATTGATGACTAATTGATACATATATATATATATATATATAGTTGTCATTGTTACAATTAGATCCATATTCGAATGAGGCTAGTTGAGTGAAGATCTTTGACAACTAAACATGTTGATGGTAGATGGTCTTTTAACCATTGAATAAGATCATCATTATTTTCTATATTTTCATCATAAAATTGTTCATTGTTATTTTCGTTTGATGTTGATTGTTTATTGAACATTTCATCGTTGCATTTAATGTGTAATACTTGAAGATTGATCATATTTTTGACAAGAATAATAATACTTTGACGATTTTTTACATGAATGAAAAGTATTTGACATTGAATACCCAACGGTGAATGACATAATCTCATACATTCTTCTTCATCAAATGAATAATTATAATTTTGTAAATTGAATTCACGAACTGATTTATTTGTATATTTAAACAATGAGATTTGAAGAGGTAATGATTGATCTTGATCGATACATAGATAACGCAGATGAGGTGCTCGATCAAGTAAAGCTTGCAGTTGAGATTGAAAATGATCAGTATGATATGAAATGTTAAGTGAAGACAATCGTTCCAAACTTGGAACAATTAACCAAAATTGATCGTTAATAGGGAGTCTTATATGAAGATCATTAATGTTACGTAAACGAATTTCAGGTAGGATTAATTGATTAAAAAATATTTCATTATGAATTGTAGTAATGTTATTGTAAAATTCTTGTTGATTATCATCTGGATATGTTGATCGCCATAAATCAGGAAGTTTGTTTTCACAAATACAAAATGAGCTCGGTAAATTGTAGAAATAGATAGTTTTCTTTACTGTAAGACATCGAACAAACCATTGATGTTCTTCAATCCAAAATGAACTTCGAAATGAATTAATTAATTGATCAATTCGTTCTTGCATATTTTCATCCAAAAACAATTTTTTTCTCATTTCAACTCGAAATATTTTAAGTTTAGGCAAATAATTACGAATGATTTCTTCCCATTGATAACCATTGATTATGTTATACCACAGAGTGACATTCAAACGACGTAGATTCGGTATGTGTTTCAAAAAGGAAATCATTTTCGAAACATCAAACGTACTCCATATGTCAATATGCAAATCGATTAAGATTGGAAGAGAAGCAAATAGTACGTAATCATTATCGTTCGAAGAATGAATATATACCGATATCGACAGCTGTTTAAGACGAGGAGTGCATTGAAATAATCGATTCATTTCATTCCATGTTAGTACATATTCAAGCATATTTACATATTCGAGAGTCGAAGACATTTTTGTTGATATGAAAAATTTCTCTTGTCCTTGAGTAGGAAAGTCTAAGTGGCAGTAACGAAGTTTTGGTAAATTCCAAATAGTATCAATAAGTAATTGAAAATTAACTTGATATCTTCGTAAAGAATGACAGCCAAACGTTAAATGAGTGAGATTATATAGATATTGACATTCATTGATAATTTTAATTAGTGTTTCATTTGAACAAATATTGGAAAATGAAAGTGATCGTAACCAAGTGAATTGACTAAATGATGAAACATAAGATAAAAATAGATTTATTTGTTCGGGAGTGTTGTCGTCGTCAGAAAGATTAAGAACATAAACTCGATCAGTGATGAATGGTAAATGTTGTTGACATATCACATCGAAGTCACGTTTTCTTATTGAAGAAAAATTAAAGCAATAGAAGTGAAATTGCTTGTACAGAAGAAGATTAAAGCGAATATTAAGTCCATAAAATGTATAAAGAAGTTCGATACCATTGAAATAATCGAATATATCAAGTAGCAGTTCATTACATAACGATTCGAAATACATTTATATTTTTTTCGCTTCACTTACACGTTGGTTTGATATATGTTATATATTACAAGATAAATGCTTATTTTGTAAGAAATGAAGAATAGCAGTGAAGTTGTTTTTTTTGTCAAAATATCAAATGTTTGGTTTTGTTTTTGTCTGCTACAGATCATTGCACGAATCGACTATATAATTAATATATATATAGCTTGACAATAAAGCACGATAGAAATTATCAATCAACTTTCTCAAACAAAAGAAATGGAAGCAATGTCAGACTAGTCTAAAATGTTTAGATAATTTGTCATGACTGATTGTCTCAAAGGTCGTCATGTCTAGTCCATTTAGTCTACTGATTCCGTCTAGACCCATCACTAGAAAAATATTTATCCATGATTGGTCTAGAGTTTACGGTCAGAAGAAGTTTTCTTGGATATATATGAATAGTACAAGTGTAGATGTTTATAATACAAATAAAAGCTTAATATGAAGATACAAAGTATTGATATACAGTTTTTAATTATAGGATTCTTTTGCAAATATGTGGGTGTAGATATTTGATTATATAACAGTACCCACACCCACAACCTCTTTAGATGCCCTTAGCGAACTCAGAACACTTGAACACTTGCGGGCAACAAACTGTACAATTGATCATCTTCCATTGAACATCCCTAATATAATAAAACTTGATCTATGCAATAACAAGTTGATCTCTTTCGATGGAATAAAATCGCTCAACACTTCTACTCAAGTTGCAAGTTACTTTATCACACTGTCGTTCAACAATAACCAGATCAGGATGATTCTGACCAATATCAAATAGCTCAAGTATCATGAACTCATCTCCAATAATTTGACAATATTGCCTATAGAAGTCTTCAAAAACAAAGCTCTCGCTGTCAGAAAGAACTCATTCAGTGACGAAAAACGTGATTGGTATACTGCTTTAGCTCGGGCATCTAATACACAAATAGGGTGTGGGTGTGGAAGATGCATGTAAGTGGTTTATTCTAACACACTCACACCCATGCTCCATGTCTGCTGTGCTTTCAACAAAACAGAATTCGTTTCTATGCGCGCACTGATAGACGATATTCAACGTGATGGCTGACTAGAAATGTCTTTCCACTTTTTACTCATTATAAATTATTGATTTACTACTTCTTCTTTACATTTTCAAAGTTTTTTACAAAATCTTGAAGAGCAGCGTGATTCTCAGGTAGTGAATTTTGTCCAATTACAACAGCACGTTCATAAAAAAAAACAGCGCTTCTGAGTTGGTATGGATGTGTGAGTAATACTGTCGATGTTGTACCTTCATCCACACTCATACCTTTCATATTTTACTTAATACAACGCTTGAATTAATTTGTCAATCAATTAATGATTGAAAATTGAGAAACAATTATTGATTATGGAAAATATTAGATCACTTGTGCACCAACAAACTGTATTTGTTTTAGGTACAAACGAATATTTGAAATTTAAGAATTGAGCTTATTGAGCGAGGATTCAATTGACATTTCAAAGCAAACCTCGCTACATGGAATATTATTTCAAGTATTGTATCACAAGAAGAGAAGATGTACGAATTGCTCCACGAATTTTTGTCATTCTGTTAAAGGGATGCATCTTAGTAGTGATCATATATACAACTTTGATGCTTCCAATGAAAACAGATGTTATCCAAATTCGATGCAAGCTACATTTGTTCAGTTATAACAGATAGAGAGAGCAAAGATCGTTATGAGACGCTTTATGGACATCATTATAGAAGCATGTGGAATTATGTAGTAGCGATTAGATTTAGCACGAAAAACTCGTTGCAAATACAGAATAAATATTTGGAAAAAAGAATTCTCTGTTATCAGTAGTATTCTTATCACACTATATTGAAATTTGAGGCTTATGGTATTAAATTTAAGTGTTCGAATTGTGAGACGAAACAAGTCTTTTCATTTCATTGAGGTATTTAATTAATAACGAATTCAAGTTATTCGATGAGATAACTGGAACTTTGCCACTGAAAAAAACGTAAATTAATGAAACAACTCGAATTATTAAAAACAAGTATCTCGATCAGAAAAACCAACTTATCCCATGAAAGAATCCAATTTGCCCGTTAAAAAAAATATCTGCGTAGCAATGTACATATGAATTTTTTTGGAAAATTCTGTAAAATTTTTTTCTTTTAGATGTTGACATATTTTTAAGACTAACTTAATATAACTAGATGTATTCTGATTTATCTATCCAATAAAATTTTCCCATTGTATGGTTTCATAAGCCTCTTTAATGAAGTCCATATTTTTCATTAATTCGTTGGATTTTCTTAACGTGTTACCATATGAGAATACGAATTGTGCCGACAGCAGTTGCTGAGACTCGATAAAATACGGCCTGCGAGACGTTTTTTTTGCGATCACGTTTTCATCTTTGTTTTTGATCGATTAGAATAAAAATAAATAGTGTTTGTGACGAAAAGAAGATATTTTTGTTCTGTTATCAGAACGGAAAAAAAAATATTTTGCTTGTTTTTTTTTCTTATTTACCTTCTATCATATTTACGATAATATTGACTGTGCCGATAATTTACTAATTCTTTTCATTCTATTCTAATCTCTTTCCTTGATATTCTTCATCTCATCTTCTGATTGTATATTCTTTCTTCGGTATATATATACATACACACATATCGGGGTTGCCAGACCTTTCAATATGTTTTTTTTTGATCGTTTTCAGATTTTGAAACTTTTTCTAGATTCTAGTTTTTTTTTGAATATTTAACTAAATTTAATTTAACTATAACTTATCACTACGTATATACTGTGTCATCTTTGATTTCCTATATTAATTAGTTAGTCTTTCTTTTTTGATTATAAGGCTACTGACAGATAATTGAATAGACTGAAAAGTTTTCCTTCAATAAAAGTAATATTATGCTGTATTAATAAAAAAAAATCTCTATTTCAATGAACTATTTTTCTTTACTAATGAACTGAAATTTGACAATTTTTTTTATCGAACATATTTATTAAAGGATAAATTCGAACAAAAACAAAACGTATTAATACTGAATATGTTTTAAGATTTTTTCTTTGATGTGATTAGGTTGTTCATACAGACTTAACTGTATGTGTATTTTGTTTTGATTAGTTTTCTTTTTCATGAAATATCTTTTAAGATAGTGTGTATAAATGAATATTAGACACAGAATAAAGTATACTGTGTTAGTAGAACAACATATTAGTCTTGGATATACAAAAACACATCTTTCTGATTTTGAAAATACAAATTCCAATTTTTAACTTTTTCATCCGACAACACTCTGATACATATGTATATAGATATTGGATTATCGCTTATCGGTTTATTTGCGTTGAATATATTCTCATAAACCATGTTCGTTATCTCAACATTATTTTATTCTTTAAAGAAATAAGAGAAAAAGAAACATTTCTATATAAATATTTTCTAAATTTAGATCGTTATACAGATTTTCTAACGGCATATCTAATCAAACGACAAGGTGTATATTCGATATCGTACTCGTAAAACTCATTGAATATGAAACATTATCTAAATGTTATCTTTCACCTTGTTCAGTTACTACTCGTTCAATCTGATGATTTTGATTCAAATCATTCTTACCAAAATTTATTGACAACGACGACGAATAGACCGAAATTTCTACTCTCTTTTCCTACCAAAAAGAGATCATCAGTATTTAATCCATATACATCTTATGAACAATTATATACTAAAACTCAAACAACAACTCCGATCATAGCTGCAAACATTTCTCATCAACTGAATGGACTTGATAGTTTTGAAACAATGGACATCCTTAGAGAAATCTTGGAAAATATGAAGGATATGATAGGAGCAAACAAACTCAGAATTCCATGCGATTCACCTGGAGATAATGTTTTCTAAATAGATTTTATCAGACATTCAAACTGAGTTTCGATCACCATCCAGAATCCCTATAGTATTGCCGATACCATCGGGTCAGTTCATCTGTTTGCCTTAGAATAAGGAACTATGCAACTTCTTTTTTGTTTCCTTCTAAACAACTACAGCATAAACAGTTTTCAAAAAGCCTTGAGTTTAATCTCAAATGAAAGATTTTGATGAGTTTTAAATATTTCAATAAAAGAATGTATGTTATAAAAGTCTATATTGAGAAGAAAATATCTGAATAATAAAACTTTTTTTATTGGAATATTTAGAACTCATCAAGGCTCTATGTCACTTTTTTAGCCCGTGAAAACTTTGAAACACAACATTAAGATCCAATTCTCTTGAAAGCAATCAAAAATGCACTTTTCTCAGAGAAGAGTAAAATGCAAATGATTTCTTTTCCTACTAAGATGACAAACTGAGGGTGTGGGTGTGGGTTTAGATAAAGAGAGTAACAGTACCCACACCCACACCCACACCCCACCCACCCACACCCACACCCACCCCACACCCACACCCACACCCACACACACCCACACCCCACCCACACCCACACCCACACCCACACCCACACCCTACTTTAAGGAAATCACACCAACATCCTGACTCGACTTATCATGCTTTCTTGTTCATTGGATTGAAATTCAGTTCATCAAGATGTTTTTTCTCTCAAAAAGATTTAAGAACAAAATTTGTCGAGATTTTGATTCTTTTTCCATAAGATTCGGCACACCATAGTACTAAAGTATTTCATGATTGGATGCCAATCGGCAAGTATTCATCATCAAGCATTTTAAGTCTTGATTGAAATTTTTCTATTATATTTTTATTAAAATTTAGTTTAAACTGTTTCTGAATTAAATAAAACATTTATAGATTCAATCTTTTCAGGATAAAATAAGTTTTTGTGAATTATGGATAATACTACCAACATGTGATGTTATAGGTGCACGTAAGTCATTTCGATTTTCAATCATTTTCCTGGCAAATTCCAATAGATTATTATGAAATCGAACTTGATATAATTTCAAAGCACGACGATGTTTCTTGTTACTAACAAAACCATCGACAGTAATCCAACCATTTTTAAAAGCTTCTTCTTCTTCTTTTGTTTGAGGTTTCGGACATAAACTTAAACATTGACAATAAGCTGTTTGTTCATCAACATTTTCAAAATAAAGTGTACCATTAAAAATAAATAATTGAGCCAGCCATTCAGGCGATATAAAGAAAGGAACCGTTTCTTTGGAATGTGCAATTAACGGAGGAACTGTGAGTTTTTGAGTATTGACAAATATTGATTGAACTCGTTTAATACGAGGTAATAATAAGCGTAATGTAGTGTTTGATGGAGTTTTGACATTTCCTTTGTGATAAAGAGAATTTAAACGTCCCATCAACCAATTGGCTTCTAAAGCACTAAGAAAAATTAAATGTTGGTTACGATAGATAATAATCCATCGTGGAGGGCGTAAAAATGGATTTAATAATTCTCCTTTAGTCTCAATTACACGTTGAAATTCAGTTGAAATCCAAAAATTTTCTTGCCAATTATTAGCTTGACAATCATTGACAAATGTCGTGTCAGTGAAAGCATATGGTAAATGACGAAATACATTAGGATATCGTGTTAGATCCATTATAATACTTCCCATATCACACAATTGTTTTATTGCGTCATGAAGAATAGGTTGACATGGTTGAACAGATGGTGGACGTTCTACTTGACGTTCTTCTTCCAATTCTTGTTCTAACTCTCGTTGTTGTTCTTCATCTAATAGTTGTGCTAAACGTTGTTTTGTTCCAGCATAATCTTCTAAGCGTTTTAATACTGTATTTTTCATTTCTGTGCACATATGATGAGAAGTTTGTTCATATCGATTACGATGAATTTCGACTAATGTTTGCATTGTTTTCGAAGCTCCGTACATACTTCTGAGCTCAATTATTTCAGGTTCGGGACACTCATTTGCTAAATTTTTCATCAACACCTCGGTAAATTCTTGTTGATCATCATTCCAATTAATATGTCGAAAAGCTGAAGCTTTTCTTTGGTGACTTAAACTTTGTGAAGCCCAATGATGTAAACCATCCCAAGTTGATTGTTGAGTATTTTCATAAACCCAACGAAGAATATCAATCAATTTGATCAAATCATCAATATCATCTCGTTTACGCTTGCGAATTGATTTTATTTTTAATTTTTTAATTTGCTGATGAACTTCATATGAACTCCAAAATATCAATGAATGACCATGACCTAATTTTCTCATTCTCATACATGCTTGAACAAAACGATCTTTTGTTAGACCATTTCCTAATGTAACACCAGCTTTAAATCCTATAGGAAATTTAAAATCAGTTCCTCGCGTATGAATTTCATCTAGATAAAATATACAACGATCTAATCGTTCACTGGCAGGAGATGTAACAAATGGATAATTATTCAAATGACGATCACAAACAACGATTGAATCAGAATCAAAATAAACGACATAATCAATATTGTTTTTATCGGATAATTTCAACAATTTAATGGCAATATCTCTATTGGTTCCATCGATAAATAATGCTCCAACATCTAAAATAACGTTTATGATTTCTTTTTGATCTACAATTCGTTTTAAGATATTTTCGGATGTTACATTAATCGGTAAATATTGATAATTTTCATTTTCATTTTTCAATAAATTATTAACAACAATTGCATCTGTTTTTTGAAGTTCAGGTAAATCATATTGTCGAATATGAATAGGAAGTAATAATTGTGTATCATTCGTACCACTAAATCCAGTGACAATTTTTGTTCGTTGTGATGAAGATAAATCCCAAGCAGAAGCTACTAATTTAGATGGAAATTGTTTAGCTTCTCGAGGAAATACAAAATAATTAAGAAAATAATTAATAACCAACACATTATATCGAAATGTAGGAAAAAGATAATTAATTTGTTGTTGATAATCTTTTAAATTAACACCATTCCATTGACGAATATTTTTTGGTATATCTTTTTCATCGTCGTATAAAATCCATTGGTCATAAATAGATGTTGGATCAGTTTCATTTTCACTTAAACGTTTAAAACATTGAGATAACTGTGAATCATTTAAACCGGAATAATAATATGAGAGGTGTGTTAAAACCAAAGCTACATCGGGATGACCAAATTCAGTTCTATCAGCTACAACATCTTTTGCACGAAATGGTACAGCCATTAGACGATTAAAAATTGGACTTGGATTTACGCCATAATTAACACGATAACGTTTTTTTAAAGTAACTAATAATACTTCTGATGATAATAAACCACGTATAATAAGAAATAATTGAATGTCAAGATGTGGAAATTTATCAACAAGATGTTCAACTGATGAATTTGTTTCTAAAATAAATATTGATATAACTTGTTTATCTTCATAACGATAATTTCTACTATCGATCCAATCCTTTGCAATTTTTTGACAAAGTAATAGAAATGGTTCGGATGTTTGTAAACGAAATTGTGGAAAAGTACTTTTTCTGTCTGGTGCTTTATAACAAACATTATCATGAAACTGTTTGGAAATATCAGCAGCGTGTTTTTTAGCTAATTCAAGGATTTTCTGAATTGTTTTCCATCGTTCTGAACCTTCATCAACTTCTTGTTGATTACCAACTGTATAAATTAATTGATATTTAACATGTAAAATTTCATCCGATTCATCTAATATATCACGTACATATTTTTTTAACTGTCGTTGAGTTGCTAACATAGAACGAGCAACATTAAATTCTTGTCTTCGACATTTATCAATTGTAAGTAAATCAAATGAAAGAATATCTTCTAGTGAAGTTAATAGAATATCACAATTACATAATGCTTGTTGAAAACGTTTATGAATTTGGTTTATTTGTTGACTATTGAAATTCATATCACGACGACATGCAAATGAAAATATACGTTGATTAAGTAAGCCACCTAATTTATATCGTAACGATTGATAATTTGTCGGAAATAATGATTTAAGTACTATAATACGAACTAAAGTCGAATTCGATGAAGATAAATTAACAGCTAACATTGGTAAAATAACTGATGTTTTTCCTTCACCCATATTCAATTGCATAACTATATTTTGCGTACTACTTGCATTTGGTTGTATCATATGTTTTGCTACATTGATTTGAATTTCTCGAATAGTTATATTCATTTCTAATTCTAAAATAAGCCAAGAAATATGTTCAGATGGCTTCCAATTAGAATGTGGAATATGTGATATTTCTTTTTTGAAGTCATCCAATTTTTTATGAATAGCAAAATACAAAATTCTTTCGATTTGTTGTTCTAATGTCCAATTGACAACAATACCACCGAGTATTGTACGTTGATCTTCGGTCAATGAAGAATAAGATGGAGTTTCTTGTTGAAGTAGAGGTATTAGAGTAGTTGGTGTCATTCTTAAAATAAGACCTGTTTCAACTAATTGTTCATTTGATGATGTAATAGAGATGAACAGTTCATTCCAAAATTTTATTGATTCTTCTCGTAAAGAATTGAGAACCTGACTGATTTCTTCTATTGAAGGATATTCTTGTTCATATTGATTATCTGCAAGAAACTTTTCCCAACTTCGAACTAATTGATTTCGAAAATAATCTGAAATTTGGCTTAGATCATTATTTTGTTCATTGGTAGAAGAAAAGATTTCCTGTGGAAATTCATTTCGTCTATCCGATTTTTTCATAGATTTCATTCTCGAATTAAAATGACCTGAATTGAAATTATGAAATTTCTTTTTAGCTTTTTGTAAAAGTATTGAATCGATTGATTTTTTTGTAGGTTTGATTTGTATTTGATAATGATTTTCAGCAAGCTCGCACTCAAATTTTTGAGGATGATATGGTGGTTGAACATGAAAATGTGCTATCGGAACGGAAAGAATGAGATCTTGCACAGCTTGTAAAAATGATCGAAGTTCTTCGTTAGATCGCCACAATTTCAATAATCGGTTGATTTCAGTAACTTCATATGGAGTTGCTAAAGAGCAATCACTTGGATATTGTTGGTTTGTTCTCCAACAGAGTGCAGCTTTACCCAAAATTTTCACCTTTTCTGATGAATTAGAACGGTAAATTATATCAATACGTTCTTTTCTAAAAGAAATTTCATTGATATCTGTGTAAACAACAAAAGAAGGAAATGTAATCCCTGCTAACAATATAGTCGACGATTTCAATGCTGTCTTTAACATTTGTAAATAAAATGGATTGACATTACGTTTGCTAGAAATATAATGAAGAAAATCTAATAGACTTTCGAATCGTTGAATATCTTCTGTATCATTGACAGTCGCTTGAATTCTAATACAATGAGCCATTTTTAATAAGCCAATCCAAATATCTTTTAAATTATTTTCACTAGTCATCCATTGAGATAAAGGTAACCAATGTCGATTTGAACAGTCTACAAGATTAACATTTCCACAACTATATAAGTCATTTACAAGATAAACAACATTATAGTTATTAATATGTTTACAATATTCCGAAGGTGAGCTATATAAATTCACTTGAATACTCTTCAAAGTATCTCTTTCCATTTCTTGAGATAATCTTGCTAATGGATTATATGAATCTCGATAATCGAAATAAAGTTTTTTCAATAACGTTTCATTGTTTTTTCCTCTTCCAAATAGTTCTGGAGTTTTATTCGACGACATTGATGGATACATGAAATTAAACAGTTGACTTGTTTCGATTAGTTTTTTGGCTATTAAGTAATAACCAAAATGTTGCATCGAATAGGGTAAACCATTTGCATTCCAATCTATTTGTTCCATACAAGTCAAATGTTTTGGATAATAGTTAACCTTCGGTGAAATCAATGCAATTTGACTGAGAATATTTAACGAAACTTCATCAAAAGGTTGATCCGAATAACAACCAGCTGAATTTAATAATTGAAAAGCTCGTTCCATTCCAGTCATACCTGTATATTCATCTGGTAAAGGATGTGAAGTCATTGCATGTAATAATGCTAAATAAAGCCATCCCGTAGGACTATCGGTTGACTGAAGTATTTTTAATCGGTCATTGAGAACAAAAACGAAATATTGATAAGAAAATGACATTGTAGATGGTCGATCTATAGTAACAATTTGATGGTTTATGTTTGGATTCGGTTTGCTTTGAACATTACCAAAAGGTACGATTAATTTTCGATATGGATAGTTACCTAATATATTTTTATTGACTGGTAATGGTGATAAGAGAAGACCCGATGTCAAAGACGTAAATGTTCCTAACCATTGATTTTTACTTATACACATATCGGAATATTCGCGAGATTTTATTATATTTGTTTCAACATTATATTCAAAAGCAATACCTAAACGAGACAGATGAATATGAACAATAATACCATCACACATCATATAAACATATGGTTTATCATCGAGGCGATTGAAATATTGATTAAATAAATTCATAAAGAATGTTGATGATTGATTAATCAAAATTTGTTTATGATTCTCTGTAGTTGTAGTAAAATATCCTGTTTCTAATGATAAAATATAAGGTATATTATTTAAAAAATCTGGCTCTTTAAAATTTATATGTCGAAATTGAAGTATTTGTTTTTTTAAGTTCAACCAATGGCTATGTTTAGAAACAAATCTATCTGGTAATTCAGTCTGAAAGCATTTATCCGAGATTAATTGAAATATTTCATTTGTTTTTGTATGTCGTTCAGTGATTGTCAAATGTTTAATTTCTTTATTAAAACAGAATTCATATTGAACTTTTTCATTACCATGATATGTATGTTTAGTAATATAAGTTTTAGGTGATTCAGCTAATTGAACTTCAAATATATAACTACCAAATATACGTATAAATAATTCATTTGTCGTTATTTCTTCAGGTAAGAAACCTACTGTCATACCATCAACTAAGAACGTTCCTTGAATACAATTAATTGATATTATTCGTGTTTCGTATTGACAATCGTACCAACCATCATAAGGGTCTTGCGTTCGTTTTTTCCATCTGCCATTCATTGTACCTTTATTTCGAATAACAGCCCAATAGATAGTAGAAAAATTATTTAAACTTTTATAAGAAGTTTTTTGTAGGAATTCAGCAATTTTTGGTTGTAGAATTACTAACTTGTGAATACTAAATCTCATCATATTCTTCATAAATGTACTCATGTTTGATCGATTTTTATTTAAAATAATATTATCATGAATTGTCGTTGATGCTTTTAATAAAGACAATAAATCTTCATTCGATAATAACAAATAATTTATTCGATTTAAATCAGTTGAAAATGTTAATAGGCATGATATGCTAATAATTACAAGTTTTAAACGCAGTTTTTCAATTTCATTAGAAGCTGATGATGATAATATTTGAATATTTTCAGAAATAAGATCAATCCATGTTTCACCAATTTTACGACATTTTATTGCTAAATTGGCTATTCTATCTTCTCTTGTTGAATTACAAATAGTTAACATTCTCATTGTAATAATTGTAATAATTACCAATACTAATTCATTCTGCCAATTTAATTTACAATCATCTAAACGATGATCTAATCTTATGATTAATTCATCAATAAAATGATCATCTAATATTTGTTCATGAGCTTCTGCACACCACGAGTTACTCGATAAATTTTGATCGATTGTCTGTGGCCCATATTGTAATATTGCATGAGTAATTAATATTACTACACTTTCTTCAGCAATAGGTAACGAATCCATTTCAAATAATACTAAAAGATTCCACCATTGTAAACGATGACCTGATCGAAACGAACCAAATTCTATAAATTGATTAGGTTTAAGTCGTGCTGCACAATTTGATAAATCAGCAATGATGTTATTTTGAATAAAATCTGTATTGTTTATTGCACATTGTAATTGTTTATAATCTGGATGATCGAGTTGGGGTGTTAAAATACGACATTCATTGTTGAATTCCATTGGTTTCGTAGGTGAAATTTGAATATTTAAACTATTTTCGAATAGAAAATCTTCAACAGAGCTAGACGCAATGGAAGGTGGATACGAATAGTGACTTTGTGTGGCAGATTTTACCGAAGATAACAATTCAATTTTACAGTTATTTGATCCTGTATAGAAAGAATGTAACTTTTCTTGATGAGGGCTTTGGGATAACCATCGATACATATTGTGCGCGATATTAGATTTTAGACGATTTATAAATTGCCAAATGATATCACGATAGTATCGAATTTCCGTAGGCATCTGTAGTTCGAAAATAACAGCCCACGCACCAACATCGTCTTTTGGCAATGGACATTCGAATATTTTTACCTGAATACTGTTCGCTTGATCTGAAATCCGACACCTTTCACATTTTTGCCGATAGCCATATCCGTATTCACACGTGCACGAGAGATCTCTTATTGAATTCATAAGATTGGTGTAACTTTCCTTCGCATTTTTGACTTCTTGTATTTTCTGTTGTTTATCATATTCTGCTTGAATTCGAATTTTCCGTATACTTTCTTTCATTTGTTGTGACTGAGGAGCATAATTAACCCCGAACGCTTGAATGTCATCTATCTTTGATAATAAATCAGGATATGATTTCTGACTAAATTCATTAAAATAATTTCGGAGATCACGAGCTCGAATCATATCTTTTTGATTAGGTAAAACTAAATATTCAAATAGATGCATCAAATCTGGAATATTAATAGAATGTTGTTTTAATCGTTGAAATCTTGAATCGTTACATAATCTTTCATGCATCGATCGAACAATTGTTAATAATGTTAGAATAAATCGACTGTAACCAATTGGATCGTTATGGCCTCTGTCTGACCAATAATAATCCACTGCTAAACTTTGATATTTTTCATAAAAGTTGAAAAGAATTTCAAAGCGCTTGCTTTCATCTTGAGATTCTTTGGGACGATTAATCCATTGATTCAAATGTAATTCAATCCAAAGTTCTATACAAGTCAAGGTTCTGTCAATAGTATAATTAAACTTTTGTCTCAGTTCATCAATTAATGGTATATAATCATCTCGATCAATATAACGAAAGTCATTATTTGTGTTAATATTTAATGAAGATTCAAATGTTTTGTTTAAACTTTGATGACTTATATACTTTTTTAATTCTTGACATGAATGTTGATAAATATGAGGGTTATTTAGATCGAAATTATTTGAGAACGAATTGTATTTTGTTTCTTCATTAATTCGAATACATTCTTGCCAATCTGATTTAGGAATAAGCATATTGATTTCCTCATGTATTTTTTCTTTTGTATGTTGTATCCATTGGTTTACATCGTTTAATTGAGTAGATAGTGATAATTGTTCGATTTTATTTAGTCTTCGAACAATTTTTCGAATACAATGAATCAATAAATCGATGGATATTTTCGAATGTATTTTACCAATAACATAAGTCAGAAAACGAGTGATCAATAATTTATAAATAACGGTACCGACAGAACCCAAGCGTTTGGTTAGAATAGTTTGAAGAACCACTTTAATAGTAAGCCATAAGCCGGAACGTCGAAATGGTAAATTAGCATTATTCCATCTGATGTGATCACGATGTTTTTTCTTGAATTTGATAGGCGTATTTGAGCTTTTGTTGATTTCAATTTCTTGAAAGTGTTGAATCCACCATTGCCATACATAATGGGATTCTGGTATATCACGTGTTTCATCTACTTGATGAGAAGCTTTCGATGATTTCGAATATTCAATAGTATTGCGCATAAAATCAAATAATAATTCACAATGAACTTTTGAACTTAATTGAATTCGATTTTTTAATCTGTAGGTTGCTACTGGAAAGCAAGAAAGATGTGGAATAGGAGACGAAGTAATATTTGCAGTAGGTAGTGAAACTTGCCAAGACGAAATTAATGGTTGATTAATTTTATTTGCTTCAATTTCAATAAGAATTGCAGCATTTTGAGCATTGAAATATAACGGAAGAAAACTTCCTCGTGGTAATTGTTCGATTGTAGATTGTAAATTTGATGCAGAAAAGTTTCGAATATTCTGTAATTGGCACCAATTTTTGAGACAGTTATCTGTAAGGACATGAAATATTGGTAATGTTTTCCCATCGTTTTCCAAGTCAATACCATTCAAATATTTTTTCATGCATTCTAATAACATGTGTTCATTTTGATGGTTGTTTTGAATTAAAAAATCTTCGTCGGCAGTAGATGGTAGATAAGGTGGAAGAAACAAATGATTTAAAATTGATTCATTCATAATATTGAACTTGAAAAAAATCGTGTGAATGAATGTAATATTTGTTGAGATGTTTTAAAAGATAAATCGAATCTAAAAAATAATCATAGCACGAAAACGACAGAGTGTGGGTGTGGGTGTGGGTGGGTGTGGGTGTGGGTGGGTGTGGGTGTGGGTGTGGGCGGGTGTGGGTGTGGGTGTGGGTGGCTGGGTGTGGGGTGTGGGTGGGTGTGGGTGTGGGTGGGTGTGGGTGTGGGGGTGGGGGTGTGGGTGGGTGCGGGGGTGCGTGCGAATATTGCTGTGCTCTTAAAGAAGATGTCCACACTCCACACACCTACACTCCGCCCACACCCACACTCACACCCACCTACACCACAGACACACCCACACCCTTTGGTAAATATCTCTTAGCTTCCAGTGATTCGAAGTAACTAACTAACGGGTTGGGGTTATGAAGTCTCCAGAGGAAGAAAAGGTGATAGCAGAGTGATTTTACTTGACGAATGCTTCTCATTTAGATGAAAAAGTTTGTGCGACTTATTAATTAAGAGTAAAGGACTTACATGAATGCCAGT